AAACTGGACAAATGGACAGCCCTGCTTATTGAATCCAGAAAAGGAAACAGATTGACTCATCCTATTATAAATACCCTTCTGCCTTTATTTTATGCTCAAAGAATTTAATTCTTTTTTAAAAAAAAAAAAAAAAACTTTACTACTTTTGTAGGAAAATCCCTTGATTTTTATTGTTAATAAGTTAATATGGAATTTGTAAAGTAAGCGTTTATTAGTGTTTTTAGGTTTGTTAAATGTAAAACACTGTAAAGGTGAAGTTATATACAATTACATAAGAAGCTCAGATAAATAAGTTTCTAAGACAGTGCATCACTAACTTAAAACTGTCAGTAGATGAGTTAAATAAGTACTTAGCTTCTTGGTTAATATACTGCCCATTCAGAAATGGAGGGGTTAATGGTTTAGGGGTGTGTGTGTGGTTTTTTTAAGTCATTTCGTTTGAATACCGCTCGTACTGAGGAAAGAGTAACAGTTTTGGGATATATTGGAGCTTGTATCTGAAATTCTTCTTTGGTTCTAATTTGTTTTTATACCAGCAGCTCTAGGAATGATACAAAACCCGATGTCGTCCGACTCATACATAGCGTCCAGTAGGTCAGCGTAGAACTGACCCATAGGGTTTCCAAGGAGCGGCTGGTGGATTCGAACTGCCAACGTTTTGGTTAGCAGTCTGAGCTCTTAATATAGAAGTTGATATTTAATGAATTACAGGTATTATATGCAAGCTGTTCGTTTCTAAAGTTCACCAAGCCCAGAACCACGTTGTAATTTCTTCTTTAGCACTATGTATCCTAATTTTTTCAGTATATATTTATTATTATCTTTATGCCCCGTACTGTGGAGCCCTGGTGGCGCAGTGACTAAGAGAGCTCAGCTGCTAACCAAAAGGTCCACAGTTTGAATCCCCCAGCTGCTCCTTGGAAACCCTATGGGGCAGTTCTACTGTCTTGTAGGGTTGCTAAGTCGGAATCGACTCGGTGGCAACGGTTTTTGTTTTTGTTTTTTCCGGGTACTTAGGCTACCAGTCAGATTTACAGTTTATTCTGTGTGCCTGATAGAGGGGAATATTATTTAATTAAAAATATGCAGTGCTTTCTATTTTTAAAGTGTTTAATGATGACCTTGTTCTTTTGTGTCTTTTAAGAATGTATTTAATTATTGTTTTTATGTAGGCTTGAGCACATTTGAAAGACTGTTATAATAATATAGATAGTTCAAGTTGTAAAGAAGTAAGCCTTGTCAGGAAATATGAAAAAATTTAGTAACATGTCAGCATGCTGTTAATCTTAGCCATTCACTAAAACAAAAAATCACTTGTCTATGTTTTTCTGGTCATAGAAAGTAGTTACACCTTGGAATTTTACTGGAGAATATATTTTGCTAGTCAGTTGCATTCTGATCTCTATAAACATTGAGAGTATTCAAGTATGGGATAAATAGCTAATGTGTATATCTAGAGTGTTTACCATGGATTTAATCAGAAATTTAGGTACACTGAGTAAAAACATTTTGATTTTTCTGTGTTAAAAAACACAATTTTCAAGTATATTGGGAGTTTGAGAATCAAGACGTAAAGAAAGATACGATAGACCATTGCATCACTGTTGCCTGCTAACAGCAATGAAATACCTGCAAGTTTGTGTCACTGGAAGTGTTAGATTTTGGAGAAAAACAGTTGTAGAACTGTCATAATGCAATAATCTCATAATGCTGGCTCTTTACTATAAGATTTGGTATGTGGACTTTTGCATAAATGGTCTTTTATCTTAATTTTTTGACCTCTAAAGAATAAATGAGTCTAATTAAAGTTTGTTGTTTTGATTTTTTTATTTTAAAATTCTATTTTGTAAAGTTAATTTCTCTAAGTGATGTTTAAAGACTTGTTTTCTTTTCTTTGGAATGCTTTTTATTTTTGTTATTATTTATGCTTAAATACCTTTCTGGTCAGAATGTTTTAAAGTTCAAATAAATCAAAAAGAATTCTGTTTTGAAAATTTTGCTGTGTTGAACATGCAGAAGCTGGAACTTGCTTATGTTATATTAACTATAATTGATATATTAGTATAATTTTAATATTTCAGTCATAAAGCACCTAAGAAGTTTAATGAACGCTAGTGTTTTCTTAGGAACCCTGGTGGTGCAGTGTTTAATGTGCTCACCTGCTAACCAGAAAGTCAGCAGTTCAAACCCACCAGCCACTCCGAGGGAGAAAGCTGTGGTAGTCTGCTTCTTTAAAAGATTTACAGCCTTGGAAGCCCTCTGGGACAGTTGTACGCTGACCTATAGGGTCGCTATGAGAATCCAGTTGCTGGCTAGGGGTTTGGTAATGTGTTCTTGGAATAGTGTATTGTTTGTTAGGTTAGTAAGCTAATCTTATTCTTAGTAAAAATGCAAGGCTAAAAATAACACCAAAGGATTCTTGATTTTATAAAAATTGGTTTTAGTGTAAAAATGCTTGCTTTCTTCCTTAGAATACACTGAGAAGTTTCCTTAACTACTGTTTGTTCTAGAAACTGGAACAGCTCAATCAATATCCGGATTTTAACAACTATCTGATTTTTGTTCTTACAAAATTAAAATCTGAAGGTAAGTGGTTTTATATTGATAAATATTTAAAGGTGTTTTTTAATACCTACTAAAATACACTGTAAATTAATTCATTTCAAAGGATTTCATTTTGTGGTAACCACATGCTTTATTGTTGTGGTATGGGTAGAGACTTAAGAGTTACTACTACCCAAGGCATTTAGATGTTTAATAAGCATCTGGTTGTTAATTGGGTGTTTGTGTAATGAATTCCCGCATTCTTTGCAGATGAGAAGTGTGTTGCAAAGTCTATTTTGGTGTTTTACTTTAGTCCTTCTATGTAAATGTCATAGATTGATTTAATACACAGATTGTGATGCATAGTTTAATATAAACTTGGTTTTAGTATCTTTTTTAAGTCTTTTTCACAATACTGAAGCTATACGTATGTTCGTTGTTAAAAAAAAAATTTAAAAAATTGAAAGCACATAAAAGCAAAAAGAAAAATCATTTCTAATGCTATCACCCAGTGGTAGTTACTGTTACTGCCTTGCACTGTATGCCTCCACACTATTTCGTATGTCTGTATACTATTTTAAGTTTCTCTTAAGCAAAAATGGGATCATTCTCTTCACTGACTTTTGTAACTTTTTTTAAAAAACTTAAAACTATTAACTGAGAATCTCTGCCCTCGTGGAGCTTACATTGTAGTGAGAGGGATGTTCTTCATTGCGTTTTGAATGTTGAGTATTCCCTTCCTGGAGTATTGTCAGACGCATAGAAGGCACATAAATATTTATTACATGACTGGCTGGCCTCTGAAAATGCTATCCTCTATTCAGTGATCAGTGTTGCAGAAGCACTAGTGCAGTTAGTAAAAACATTGCGGTTAGAGTTGGGAAATGAATCTTAGACTCTACTTTGACACTAAGTCGTTTAACTTCTCTTGCTTCTTTCAGCTATAAAATGCCCGTGTTAGACTACCAGACTGTTTATAAGGTTTCAGCTCCAAAATCTGTCAGGTTAATGGTCCTAATCTGTAGTAAAATCTCACTGATAAATCTTGTATTTATTTAGATTTTGATAATCTGTACACAGTATAGTGATTAATTTTGAATTGTTTTCAAATAATTTCTAGAAAATTTGGGGGGTTTAAATTTGAGATTGAGAGATGTAGAAAATTTAAACTTTAAATCTAGGTTTTAAGAAACTGGAAATTCCCTCTATATCTTTTAGTTCAGCAGTTAGTATTCATAACTTGAAATATATTTATGATACATTATTTAATATAGAAATTTTATTTTCCCCCCCCACAGAATAATTTGTAATCAGTAATCAGGGCTGTTTGTTTTTTAAAGCATGGAAATATTTAGTGAATTACTTTTTCTAATCTCTTAATTGTTTTACTGGAAAATTTTAAACGTAATTTCACTGAGCCGTCTAGTCTCTGTCCTGTTCCCACCCTAAATTCCAAATTTTAAGATTGTTACAATGTTATACTCTTATCAGGCTTTCTTGGGTATAAAGATACTTCAGAAGTGCTAAAATAAACTTGGAATTCAAATAATAGCAAAAGATATTGGCTGTAACTGCCTCCACAGAGACTTAATAATTACAAAACCATAAAATGTTGGAAAGGATTTTATTTGAGCTTTCTTAACCCCTGAAATGTATTTTTTTGTTGTTCATATAGGCACAGTTTCTCAGAAGACATAGTAAAAGCTTTACAGTTGTATAACTCTTGATAGTTCTTGCACTTACCCATTTATTTTTTTCCCAGGAAAATTGGCACCCACGTTCACTATCTCTAGTTTTCCATTAAAAAAAAAAAATCTTAACATTCTGGCCATCCATATTAGAGAAGGAACATAGGTAACATCTTAAGATAAAAATGCTTGTTTGATAATCTTGTCATTTCTCTTGTGAGTTTTTATACAGTGAATGGAGGAGTAAAATATCTAATCTGAAGGAGACTCAGATCAGTGGATCTAATTCCCTCAATTTACAGTTGAGCAGTTTGAGGCCCAGTGAAGTTTTACTTTCTTAAAAAAGGAAATGAGTAGCTGGTAGTTTTTTTAAATGTATTTTGGACAAAGGATATATATTTTTAATTTTAAACGGTTTCACCTCTATGGATTTTTAAAACTCTTCATTTTGTAACCTTTATTGTAAAAATAATATAGTGTATTCCTTGTAAACATACACAAACCATTTAAGTGTAATTACATGGCTATGAGTTATTCAGGGCTAATTTAATAAGACAAAAGCTTATTGCTCAAGGAAATTAAATATCTGGCTATTCGTTTATTTCATGCCAATTTTAAAGATAATTTAAAGTCAGAAGCAAGTGTGTTTTGTTTCATTTTAAGTTACCTATTGGAAAGGGTTATAAATGAAATAGGAAAGAAGTTTTTGGATGATGGCATAAAATTCTTAGGCTGTATTGCTGTGGTGTCCTAATAGAGTTTATATCCAGAGACACTTTGCTATCTTTTTTTCCTCTCCGTGTATTTCATCCTTGAATATTTCAGTTCTAATCAAACTTGGGGAGTATAGCACTAACTAGAACAAGCTCAGTTATTTTATTTCTTAATAAGGTATATAAAACAATACTGCTATATAATAGTCTGTTCAAGACACCAGCTGTTCATGGCTTGTAGAAGGGAGATACTGTGGAGTGGTTCAGAGTGTAGGCTCTGGAGCCAGACTCCTGAAGTTGACATTTGGCTTCTCCACTTAATAACCTTTTGTGACCTCGGCAATGGCCTCAGTTTCTTCACATTTTTAGTGGTGACAATAATAACCTGTTTCATGAGGTTGTGAGAATTAAATGCAGTACACTTGGCATTATTTAGTACATAGTAAGCATTTAGAATATGTTAACTATTGCTTATGTAGTTTGTTATGAGAAGGTGATTCCCAATATATTCTGAGCCCACTTAATTTTTTAATAGGATATTTTTAATGATTAATACTTTCTAATCTGTAATTGGATGTTTTTATCAGGTTCCAATAAAGCTTGAGTACAGTGGTCATTTATAAACTAAAAAACCAAACCCAGTGTCATCAAGTCGATTCCACTTATAGTGATCCTATAGGACAGAGTAGAACTGCCCCATAGGGTTTCTGAGGAGCAGTTGGTGGATTTGAACTGCTGACCTTCTGGTTAGCAGCCGCGCTCTTAAGCACTGCACCGCCAGGGCTCCCATATAAACTGAAATAACTCTTAAACTGAGCGAATCTCAACGAGGGGCAGTTTTGCCCCGCCCCCCCTCCAAGGGATGTTTGGCCTGCCTGGAAGTTTTTTCGGTTGTCACAACTGGAGGAATATTACTCGCATTTAGTGGGTACAGGCTAGTGATGTTGGTGAACATCTTAAAATGTATAGGATAGCCTCCTGCAACAAAGAATCATCTGGCCCAAAATGTCAGTAGTGCAAAAGTTAAGAAACCTTCAACTAAACCATGGAGCTAATCTTTTAGTAATCACTTACGATCTTTTTTCCTGATTATAGCAGAATTATTAGAATACTGCAATTAGTTTTTTAATAAAATTTTTTTTTTTTAACTTTTGTTCTTGATACGTTTTGAAATGAAAAGTATTTTAAAACTCAGTATTGTTTTTTTATTACAGATGAACCCACAAGATCATTGAGTGGTCTCATCTTGAAGAATAACGTGAAAGCTCATTTTCAGAACTTCCCAAATGGTGTAACAGACTTTATTA